CTTCTTACTTTTATAGTCAATATTAAATTCATAATATAAACTAATACTTCGTTAAAAGATTACCAAAGATTGAATAGAAATGAAAATGTTAATATTTCAATGCAAGTTGACTAGCTGCATGTTTTAGTTGATAGTCATTATAATTTGACAACTCTGATTATTGTTGTAACGATTTTCTGTTTACTTTTCTTTCCCTTTATTCAACTGCATTAATATTATTGAGCATGTTGACAGTACAAATTATGTAAATGTTTTTTTTGTTTTCTTGTTCAATGTACAAATATCCTTGTACCCATCTTACTTGACTTTGTTTTGGTATTGGTCACTTAGGTGGTTAATCCTTATTTATATTAATGTACTGATAATCATCTGAATTGTACTTTATCTCTGGTTTTAGATATTAGTAGCTGTTATTATATGTAAATTTACATTTTTAAAAATCGTAATGATTAAAATAAATTAGCTTCATATTATCTTCCGGGGATCATTTGGTTCGGGACTCTTCAGGAAAGTAATATATATCTAAGAACTAGAAATATGTCATATTTTTTCCTTAGTAATATTTACTTTCTCTTCTTAGTCCATTATAATTCAAGAATTTAAAAGGAATTAGATATTCCTAGTTTACTCTTTGTAAAATTGATAACCTTTCTTTGGTTCCTTTCCTTAGTAGGCTTTTATATTTTATTGTATGTGTTTTACCATTGTGATGTGACTAGAGGCAATTATTCGGAAACCCCTTAACCTAAAGAGTTTCATCAGCCCTGGTAAGTTGGTGTCTAATAACATCTTGGAATGAATCTCGAAAACTCTCTTGACTTTTGCCAACCAAAGGATGGATGTATTGCTCAGCAGTTCCCTCTGTATTACCCTATTGAATCGGGACGTGGTTTATGAATTTTGAACAAATAAGTAGGCTATCGGCTTTTATTCATGGGTATCTTCGAAACATTCCTTATTTATTATGCGACGATGTAATGAACACTGAAACCTGTAGGCATAATGTACTGGGTAAAAATGCCAAATCAGTTGGTGTTGTAATTACATAAACGCCGGCAAAAAATGAATTTACGCGTTTTTAAATGTTTGTACTCAGGGTAATTCGTTTCAGTTATTGAATAGTTTATGGAAAATTAGATGTATCATCTTTGGATTTCATCGTCGTTACTCACTAGCTGTTCTGGCATGATTAGTGTTGTACAATAAATCAATTTGGTTTTAATCCATCCTATGTCTTTTTTAATCATTGATTGAATTCCAAGGAAACTAAGAGTTAAGGCGTCAATTCATTTCTTTTTTTCAGCCTTTGAAATCAGCAATCTTTTTATTTGATTGTGAAATTCTTCTACTGAAAAGTTAGCTGTTAGGTGATAGACTGTTATTGTTATGTGCTGTACTCTTAAGCGTCAAGTAAATTCATTGAGAATTGTTGATTGAAAATGTGAATCACGGTCTTTGGTAGTGGTTAATGGGATGCCGATGTCAGAAATATGGTGGTCGAGAAATAGTAAAGCAGTTAGTTTTTTGAATGTCATTTGCGCCTATCTGATGAAACAATTCATCACAGCAAACATGTGCGTTAATGATTTAGATAATGGAAGAGGGCCGAAAATTTCTATGTTGAGATGTTGAAAAGGTCTATCAGATCTGTAAAACTTCCCAGATGTGCTTAATTTTGTTGGTGAGCCTTGCTTGGTTGAAATTGGGTGCAAGTCCTTGTCCATTTTCTGATGCGTTCACTCGTCCTCACTCAGATAAAACGCTTTGTTTTAGGTTTTACCATAGCTCAGATACGTAGATATAATAAAGGTGCTAAAGCAATCTTTCTCTGCAAAACGTAAACAAGTTGAGACTTTGAAATTTTGCCTGCTGTCTACTAAGTTTATTGCGTTTTTATTCGAAAATTCTGTTAAATGATCTGTATATAAACAACTGTACTTATATAAACGTCAGTCCCAGGATTTTTTGAATATGAAGAATACCATGTGACAAAAAATGTACTCAGTGACAGCTTGCCTCAATCTCCAAATATCCAAGTATTAGGACTACTTTGCGTGTTTCAAATTTGTTTTAATTCACTACGAATGCTCCTGAATAGCACTAATTTAGTAATGCATTTATACGAAAGGCTTGGATTATTGTATCATAACTACATGCTATGAAACTCAATTAGAGTGACATTGTTTTGTGCCCCTTTTCGCGTCAATCATATTCATCGTATAAAATAAGTTGAAATCTGAGTTTTTTTATAGCTTTTTTTTATCGAAAAAGCATGGTTCTTTACCTTTCAATACCACCAATCAATCATTAGAAGAAATCCTAGTTGAAGTATACGTCAAAGTTCATTGTCATAACACCCAAGTAGTTATTCATAGTTTTCTAAATGTTAAAAACGTATGATTATGTATTCTCACTAGTTGAGATCATGATATAATTGAAGCTAGACCACCTGGAAACACTGGACGGCCGTTTCGTCCTGTTGTGGGATTTCTTAGCAGTGCGCATCCACGACCCCTCCTCGTGAGATTCGAACCCAGGGCCTATCGGTCTCGCGCGCGAACGTTTAACATCTTAACCGCTGAGCAGGCATCCAACGGTGTTAATGTCTAACTTCAACTAATTCACCATTGTCATCAGTGTGTTACTATCTCACAATTGACCCGATTGAACTCCACTGGTCACTGCTTTACACTAGAACTCCAGGATATACATCTTGATGTCAGTCACTAGTGAGCATATGTTGATTAGTATCAGAAGGGGTCTTGTGGAGATTGTAGCAGTGTTTCCAGGTTTTCCATGGTGGTCTAGCTTCAATTGACTCATGATCTCAACTATTGAAATTACTACAATGTTCTCAAAACCCCTTCTGATTATGTATTCATGATCTGTTGCAAAGTTTTAAAATCATCAACTGTTTGTCTGAACTGTGTCGATAGTTTTTAAAGTTCACTAAATAACCGTAATCTTTTTTTGAGTTACTTCAAATGAAATAACTCAAAACCAGTCATATTGACCAAGCTCAAATCAATATATATATATTCATAAATTGTTAGTGTAGATCCATAAAGAGTGAATAAACTTTATTTATATCGCAGTGTTTAATGTGTATTGCTGTTTAGAGTAAAATTACTGAGTATGAATAATGATAGAACATATTTAATTGTACTAAAATTTCTATTAAGAAGTGTACACTCATTGTTAATGTTATCTGTCAATCAGTAAAATCTAACACAAGTGTGTATTGGTTTCAATCGTCAAATGTATTAGCTCAGAGAAAACAAACGAGAGTATAAATTAAAGTTCTGAAATCCCAAAAGGTCATTATTATAAGTGCATAGAACAGTTCAAAAAGACCAAATGATGAAATTGACGAATAAAATTAAAGATTTAGAAGAATATAGAAAAGGAATATAAAACGGTCGATGCTCTGCAGAATTCTTGATGGGGTTGTTATATTCGGTACTGAACAACCAACAAGCTATTTTCAAACAGTCTTATTTTTATTTGATTTTCTGTATCCATCTTTCTTATTAATAAATGCTAAACAATTACGAAAATTTGAGTCACTAATCTTGGACTCTTGTCGTTAGCATTGACCAGCTGTATCCAAATGCCCTGGTACGACAGGGTAGGGAGAGTCTGCTATTTCTCAAAATGCTCTCACATGTACAACCACTGCCTTCTGTCGAAGATGTTGTTTACGAAATTGAAATGACTAAGAGCGAATGTTCTGTGCTTTAACCGGGTCGGACGATATGAAGGATCGACCTAGGAGAGTTGGAAAACCTTCATTCCAAATCAACGGTGCACATAGGCTCCAGAATCCTGAGGGAACAAATGTTGTATGAGCTAATCGTTGATCATCGGCTACCATGGGACTGCATCTCCTTACGTTGCTCTATTACCTTGTGGATCAGACCCTTAGGTCGAAGGCTTCGGGTTTGGCACCCTAAGAAAACCACCTGCTTCGATCTGGGCACCCAGGCAGTATCACAGCTCATACACAAATCAAGTGACTTGTATGGCACATATGTATTCGGTACCTCTTTGTAACAATATATGTGTTCAAATAAAATAATATAATAAACTGCCCATCTATCTTTCCATCTATTTAATGATAATTTGAAGTAACTCATACACTAACTATAAGTTTATGTACTCGACTTCGAGGTGCATTGTGTATTTGAGCTCTTACTAATTATCCATTTGTCGAAATCAAAATAGTTATAGTGGATTTCTCACGTAAAACCTACCAGTCAAGTGCTTTAATTAATAAGACACTGATGTCATACAGTATTATGTAGACAATCTTTTGCTTTACGTGAGCGTTCGAAATGAGGTATAAGAAAATATTTATTTCTAATTTACTCTAGTATTCAATGAAGTTAATTTCTAGAAAAATGAATTACTAGTAGTAATAATCAAATCAGTAATTTCATGTTTGAATGTAAGTCCTTTATCTTCTATGACAGTGATTGAACTAATCAAATTGAGAAAAGCAATCAAGATCATTAGATAATACGGAGTGACTGGCGTAGTGGTGAGAATACTCGCTTTTTAACTGACAGGTCACAGTTTCAAATCTTTCTTCGCCTACTTCAGTTTTTGCATGTGCGTATTATCAATATATCTCAAGTAATAGAAGTAGCTCATGGCCGAGTATATCTTGAGGGACCTGATGCTCTCTGACAGATTCTATCCCGTGATCAATCAGTTGTAAATCTCGGTTATTGATTGTTTAATTAACCAGTGCATGTCTTTTTTCTTCCTAAGGATTATCACCAGATTTAAATTGATAAAATAGTACTCTCGTCAAAAATATCCAACTTCCAATGCGTTCGTACCGTGATTTAAATAAATAGTAAATTCTCTAGTTGCTTCATTCCTGATAAGAAGGTTCCTTACTCAACAAACACACATTTGGTTTAGTTTTGTCCTTTTTTAAATCGTTGCTTCTCCACAACTGTTCATAAATTTTCCTGATTTTCCTTTTAATTCAGCTTGGGATGGTCACTTTATCCTTATTTCGTACAATATTAAGCTTTCACTGTGAAGATGTTATGTATGAGTTAATATTCAAGTGAGTTGATTTATTTATTACTCTTAATAGATTTCTTAACTATTATAACTTTTTGGTGAGAATACTAAGAATTCACTATATGAATTCTGACATTTTCATACCAAATGTTCTCTCTGGGCCATCTATAAACTCCATTGTTACATACATTTATGCTCGTTTGTTGTTTACTCTACTAGGTGTTTGAATTTAAACTACCACATCATGGATTCGAAATTCCCTGTAACTTACTTCAATCTTGTGTTATACGTAAATTTTCAGTATAGGGTTGTGGAGATTATTAATTTTTTGATTGAGATCATGAACCGACTGATGTTATACCACAATTGAAAACCTGGAAGCACTGGACGGCCGTTTCGTCCTATTGTGGGACTCCGCGGTAGTGCGGGATTCGAACCCAGGGCCTTCAGTCTTGCGCGCGAACGCTTAACCTACAGACCACTTTGCCGGCATCCAACGGTGTTAATGTCTAACCTCAACCATCGTCCAGTGCTTCCAGGTTTTCATTGGTGGTCTAACATCAATCGGTTCATGATCTCAATCAAAAACTCGTAAATTTCACCTAACATATGTATGACTATAAGTTTTGTGCACAAAAATCAGTTCAATGCAACTTAAATGTCTATCATTTTGAATCATTAAATCTCATGATTAGATTTTTACTTCATTTATTCTATTTAATTTTTTCGGTGTTTAGAAATAAATTGATGAACATATCAGGAAATATGGGTTTTCTTGTTGTTTGTTAATAAATGTTACTTATTTTTGGTAAGGATAACTTCGATGGTTACTTATTCTGTTACTTAATTTAGCATGCTTCCAGATTATAAAGATTGCTAATAGTCCTATAAATATGCTTGTTTTTTGTACATTTATGAATCTTGAAGTAAAACGTTTCTCCTTACTTTACGTCTTTTCTCTACCATACTGAGCTCAAGTGTGAGAGAAGTCTACAGATCTAGCAAGTCAATGTTAAGTAATCGAGTTGTGGACCTATCACATATCTATAATAGTACAATCATAATTGATAATGTCCATGATATGTAAATTTATATCGGTTAGCGGCGGATACAAACCAATATTACTCTTATGGTATTTCATACGGTTAATGAACTTGACCATGGAAATCTAGTTATATTTCACTTCACAAAAGCAGGTGTGAGATCCATTTTACTGTTTGTACTTAAGTTTATTGAAAGTGATCGTCAAAAATAAACAACATATATAGACGAATAATATTGCTTTCATAGATTACACTACTCGTTGATCTTCGTCAGATAACCATTAGAATCCATGAAGCACTAGACAGCGGTTTCTTACTAGTATGGGTCACTCATTAGTCTCCATCTCACCTGGGGATCGAACCCAAGACCTCCCCATCGTGAAATTTAGAACAACGCATATAAATGAAAAACACTTCAATTAGATTATTATCAGGCTTAGATATATGAAGTTGTTGAGACTATTGAATGTTACTGAGATCACGAACTGATTTCAGTTAGCCATCGAACTGTTCAATGCTTTCAGTTTTTCAATGGTTGCTCAACTTTGATCGGTTCCGGATCCTAACAGCGTTTAATATACAGTAATGTTTATATAAATACACAAAAACCACTTAACCCATCAACACAGTTTATAAGTCAATGATAGCCATGAAAAAGGTCAATTTAACTATTCACATACCATCAGTACGATTTCATAGTAAGATGGCAGTTGTACTAGTGATGAGAATGTTGACAGTTTGAATATCCGAAGCTGACCAAAACCTGGCAGAATAAATAAATATAAAAATCATCAACAAACATAAAAACTGCGTAGTACGAAATATGCAAATAAGCACTATAGATATATGGATAGTGAAGAATAAATAAGAAGTGCAGTGAAGAAAAATAAACAAACTAAGGATGTTTGAAGTAAGATCGTTCGTCAAGTTTTATCAGAACAAGGAAGAGACAAGCATATTACAAAGCTCCTCTGAACTCAGAATCAGGTTGTTGTCTTGCATCTCTTAAGCTCCTGCTGTATGTAGAATAAAAGACCGAACGTCGATGGGAAACGAGGTTATGTGGTAGGTTACTTAAATGATTTAGTCCTATCTACCACATGACCACTGCTACCAATTGAGATAAAATGGGGTTACGTGTTGTCCATATTTAATTCCTTCCAAACCATTCAGAGAAATCTCTCATTTGCTGGTAGTCTCTTAGTATTTTAAGATAATTCAGACTCATTAAAATACACGGTTAAATAGATGTGTTTCAGTGTGAAATTTGTGTACTCCATGATACGGTTGATGTCAGTTAATGTAGGGGTTAGACTGAATAGTTTTTTCGTATCACTACGTCACAATCTCATACAAGATCAAACCTAGTATCACTAAATCTCAGGATAACCACTATACTTGTAGAACACAGAGTTGAATATCAATAATCATCCGCCTTATATCAACGTCAATCAATTGGCCATGGTATTTCGCGTTGATCGTTTCCAAATTATATCAATCAGTCTTTGAAGGAAAACTAACTTGAAATTTATTTTAAACCTTCACTTAGTGAAATAAATTTCAATGACTACTAATTAAACTTAAAGATTACTAAATTACTTACTATAGAGTGTTGATATCATTGACTCATCTGAGAAGTCTCATACTAAAGACAATCTATTGTCTAGTGCTTCCTAGTTGTCTGATTACGTTCAGTCATGTGAAATTTTTTTCTATTGCTGACTAAGATTTTAATCTTACATTTAACAATATTTCAATGGTTAAGATCATGCGTCAGTTGAAGCTAGACCATTGTGGAAAACCTGGAAGCACTGGACGGCCGTTTCGTCCTATTGTGGGACTCCTCAGCAATGCGCATCTACGACCTCACCCCCTGCGAGATTCTAACCCAGGACCTACTGGTTTCGCGTGCGAGCATTTAATCACTAGACCACTGTGCTGGCCGGCATCCAATGGTGCTAATGTCTAACTTCAACTATTCCACGAAATTGAGTGACACATCCACCATTGTCTTCAGTGAGTTACTATCTCACAACAGACCTGGTTGAACTTCACTAGAATTCCAGGATATACTTCGTGAAGCCAGTCACTAGTGAGCATATGTTGATTAATATCAGATGGGTTTTGTAGATATTATAGTAATTTCAATGGTTAAGATCATGAGTCAATTGAAGCTAGACCACTATGAAAAGCCTGGAAGCACTGGACGGCTTCGGCTGACTCGTGATCTTAACCATTGAAATTACTATAATATCCACAAGACCTATCTGATACTTAATAATATGCTTAATTATCAACGTAATTAATATCTAAGTGATGTATACATTGAATTCAGTAATTGACTCACCAGTTGATCATTCCATTACAACAAACGCCTGACTATTATTAAAAAAGAAATTGATTGTACGCTATTATGATCGCGATCATTGTAGATTATATACATAATTTGAATAAATATAGAATATCTAAAAAGATAGTTAGCAGTTTGAATATATATGGATAATTTTATAGCTTGTTAACTAATAATAGTCATGTGTTTCTTACAAGACATGTGCTTTTTGATCAAACAAACTTTTGTGTTATGGATTTTGAAATTGATTTTTTTGCGCGTACACACACAGAGAGAGAGAGAAGGTGTTGTTTAAATGGTAACATGTTTTCATTTTTCATTGTTGATGATTTTATAAACAACTAATGAAAATAAACATGATAGTGTTATATAACAAGAACAAAAATGATAGTAACTTAGTTCAATATTGTTACATGTTTCAGCCCCCAAATGCCCTGGTACGGCCGAGTGTGGGGAGAGTCCGCTCTCCCTCTCGAAATGCCCTCACTTGGCCACGCGTGTACAGCCTCTGCCAGGGAAGTCCTACTCACTGCCTTCTCATGGCGGGGGTGTTGTTTACGAAAATGAGAGGACAAAAAGCGAATGTCCGGCGCTTTAACCAGATTCCAAACCAATGGTGCACATGGGCTCCAGTATTCTGAGGGAACAAATGGCGTATGAACCAATTGTTGGTCACCGGCTTCCATGGGACTGCATCTCCTTACGATGCTCCGCTGTCTTGTGAATCAAACCCTCAGGTCGAAGGCTCCGGGTGTGGCCCCCTAAGAAAACCACCTGTTTCGGTTTGGTCACCCGGGCAGTATCACAGCCCTCACACATATCGAATGAGATTTGTGTGGCGCATATGTATTCGGTGCCTCTTTGTACCAATATCTATGTGTTGAAATAAATAAATAAAAACATTTTTCATGAATGAACTCGATCAAATTGTGTTGAAATAACGGTGAAATAAATTAGATAGTAGTATTCATAACTCATAAGAGAAAAGATGAAGTTATCCTCAACATTTTCAATGTTAATTCATTGTGTTGTGTCCATCAGTTTCGTCAATTTTTTCGTTTATTTCGTCGGTGTGTGCTACATGTTAGAGTGTAACTTTCATGAAAGATTTCACTTTAAGCGCCTAGCAGTATGTATCTGTCATTGTCATTGTAATCAGGGCTAGAAATGCAATTAAATATGCACAGCTCATCGATTAAGTAGACAAAAAAATGACTGAAAATATTTGATATAGCAGACTTATTGGACACTGAAAACTTTGTGAATAACCTTCAGCCGAATGAAAATAATGTTATCATTTCATTACAGCGAATAAAAGATTTAAATTTAAAAACCGATTATTCTAAGCTGTTTTTTAAAATTACTTCGGGTGCATGTTATAGGGCTCCTCAAATATCTGTACCCACCATACAAAACATTTTCGAAATCAAGTTTATTTGTTAACACAATACTTGTTTCGTCCTACCTAACTGGTGAGTTCTTGTCCCGCTTTCATGTTGGATAGTATCTACTGATTCTGGTTACTGACTAAAACTTCTAATTCATAACCAATCAAATAATAAGATTAAATAATCTTCTGTTCATATTCTCATATCTATTTGTCATATTTTGGAAATCGTTAATTTCATTTTTTTACTCGCTAGTCTTCCTATTCTCTTCCCTTTCTTAGGCATTTACTAACCTTGAATCATTTAGATTCTGAAAGGTTTGATTCTTCATCAAATGGATTTTATAAAACTCTACTGACTGGATCTGCATTATGTTTATCCAACAACGGCACAACAAAACAACCAAAACTACTTTGGTCTACTTCACCACGATCAACCGTTAAGCATACTACTTATTATCATCCTACGGTGGATCAGTTAATCCCACATCTTGTTAAATCAGCTGAATTATTTTTATCATTAGCCAATACATCATCTTGTAGTGATAAATTTTCGAAATCCAGATCTCAGTCAACAACAACAACAGATAATTCTGAAGTTGGCACTACACAATTAAAGAATGAGAAGAGGCAAAAATCAAGTATATCCTACTGGTATGTTGAATTTTTCTGATGACATATACTTCTTTTTATTAAATGGTTCGACTTCAGCTACTACTTAGAGATGAGACTGAAAATTGCCTGTTTTAATGAACCGATCAAGTTATGTCGGTCGGACTACTCGTTCTTTTAAGTCCTACTATCTCAGAAAGGTCATTTGCAGAGTTGTAAGACTGCAAGCAGAAAAAATGAAGTTTGAGGATGACATCGTACTTCTAACTGTTTAAAAGTTTGACTGCAGTGAGGTGTTTCCCTTCTATCTAGCATCTGCATATTTGCTGCCTCCTCACAACTGAATGAAGTGGTTAGGAAAATTGAGTTGTTAAAAAATAACAAACTTCATTTCATCCCTACAATAAAGTTTTGAAGGTACGAAGCTAGGACATATAAGACTACTCATGAAAAGGTCATATGCGATCAACCTCAAACAGTTATCCCTCTGCAGTCATGTTCCCAAGCAATCAAAGCCACCCTTATTTCAATTTTCTCATATATCTCGATAAAAAGTACCTCTCTGTGGTATGTACAAATGAGAAGTGACAACTACTCTCACACCTCTAGCAGCACTCGAGATCATCAGCTCCAAAGAATTGGATAAGACCACTTCAATTATCCTTCCTACTCGAACAGAGACATGTGGGCTGAGTCATTGAGTAAGTGCATAATCTAATTCTTCCAATAACATGCCTCGTTTATAATTTCCCGACTATCTTTTGACCCTGAGATGGCATGTGAACACAGACACGTCCGACGTTCAAGCCTTTCAGACTTGAACTTGTTATCGAATGCCTTAAACCGTTTCAAAAAATTGATCACCACCTCATTATAATATGCTTTACTATTTAAAATCGTATTTATCATTATAAGTGTGCCAATGTTTGACAAACAGATAGTGTCGGATCTCATTTTTTCATTTCTAAAACACCTCTCTGATTACCTCATCATTATTTTAATAAGCTTATCTATTTGCCTTATTTCTGAAGAGATTCTAATTACCGTTAAACTTAAGAGATAATTATCGAAGTAACATTCTTTTAGTCTACAGAGCTTTTGGTGGAAATATGACTTTGCTTTCTGGGTTAGCTATGTCTAAGATAAAAAGGTGTCTATGTTCAACAGTTTTACTTCAGACAATGCTAATATATACTAGACGATTTGCTTTATATACATAATGATATGTTCTCATTTTATAATCATTGTTTCGTCGTAATAGTCCTGTCGAAAAACTATGTAATGTTTCGAAAGAAGTCATATTCAGTGGTCATGGAGACTCTATGCCTACAATCGATCCCTTAACAAGTTTAAATCATTCAAATAACTTTAATAGCGAATCAATTGATGATGATGATGATGGTGATGATGATTTGAACAAAACATTAAACAACGAATGGGTTGTTATTCGTGCAACACCACTCCATCCTATTTTAGTGGCTAATAATTATCCAGAATTAATAAATTATATTAAAAATGCCAATTTACGTGTATCACGACGACGTCAAGCTTGTAAATCATGGCGTTCACAGTATTGGCCAAAAATGATTGAAAATAATAAAGGGAATCAATCTGCAACATCAATAGTAAGAGATGATAATTTATTAGAATTACAAGAGAAACGATCACGTTGTGATTTGTATAGAACGATCCATTCGTCGAAATATACAAATATTAGTGGTTGTGTAACGCCGGACTCAATGCCTAATGGATTGTCAGCTAGAGATCGTACAAAATTTATGCCAGACATAGTCGACAGTGGTAGCAAAAACGAATGGAACAGTGTATGTGATGATATATCATTGTTATCACCATTGTTATTGCATAGTTTATCCAGGAAACATACTTCATCTTTATATCAATTAAATTATATAAATGATTCATCAGATGATGAAAGTAATCAAGAAAATATGAAACAATCTAGCAATTCAAATACTACTGATAATGACACAACTCTTATCGCTGCTAATAATGTTGAGTCAACTGTCTCTGAAACTGATAACCTTGATAAGACAATTAATTCACGTTCGCCAACTGATAAACAGTTATCCAATTCTTGTTCAACAGAATCATTTCATTCAAAAACTGTGGACAATAAACAACCACAAACACAATCATCAGTATTATCGACAACATTAAAAATGGACAATCATGAAGAAGGGTGTTATAACACAGGCTTTAGTGTACCATATAATCTCACATCCACAAATTCTACACCTTCGTGTACTTGTTTATCAACGTTACCGGATTTGCTAAGATTAGCTCATCTAGATCCAAGTATAGAATTACATAATAGTAATGTCGTTTCATGCACCACCACAGTGTGTACAAAAACTGATTTTAATGAAAGACAAGAATATGAATTAGAGAATTTTTTAGCTGCATTAGATTGTTTACCATCACCAGGACGTTGTACAAAACATTTTGGACATTTGCCACCATTTATTTCCTACAGCAAAATTGATGAGGAATTTTTTAAAAAATTGGATGATTATGTGCATGAATTTGAAAATTCAAAAATGGAATTTACTGAAACAGATACTGTTAGTAGTACAACAAAAACTACTGCTGTAACTAAGAATGATAATCTTATTCATAATTATAGTGATAACGATGATGAGGGTGACAATAATGCTGAGACAAAATCTAGACTCTTACAATCTCCTCTATTATCTTCGTTAATGGTTAGATCATGTAATGATGCTTTGGATTCGATATCATTAAACAGACTTGACTCAATACGCCAACAACAATGTCAGCATTCAGGGAGTCATAGTAGTTGTAGTAATCATTCACACTTAACAGATTTCTCTTCAACTTCATCGACGCAATCTGCGAAACATTATTCAAATTCAGTTGGTGTCGCTGGCGGTATAGGTAGGTGTGGTGATAATGATTGTAGTTTAAATTTATGTCATGATGCTAAATATTAAATTGATGACATGTAATTCAACACGCACTATAAATCTCCTACATTAATCAAATTTGAATCTACCGACCATTGGTTAAAAGTCAGACATTCAAACCACTGAACAACAAAGATACATTCAAGTGTGACTTTTAGTATATACCATTTACAATCCTCGATCATTGGTACACAATTGCCTCGCTTACATTTATGTATAAGGTTCGAGACGGCTATCCGAAACCTCATAAACTACCATTGTCATATCCTAATTACGTAAGAGCTGTTCTGCTCTACTCCTCATGTTAACTATCGAAGTATAACGCGGTAATCGAAGGTTATGTATTTTATATGTCGTGGTTATTACAAGAGCGAAAATTTCAACAAATGATTTGTATCTTCCACAGAGCACTCTAAACAGTAGCACTCCTGAGCTAAATAACTTAATAGTTGAGTTCATGGGTCAATTAAAACTAGACCACCATGGAAAACCTGGAAGCACTGGGCAGCCGTTTCGTCCCAGTATGAGACTCCTAGACAGTATGCATCCACGACCTCGTGCTCGAGACTGAAGTTCCTGGGTTTGAATCACACTATCCTTTCAAGTGTACTTTTTCATTTTGCCTTTTCGTGGCATATTCCTAATGTTTAATTTCTTTCATAGTTGTTTCTACTAAATTATTTAAATCTCGTTTGCGATTTATCTCGTTAGTTTTATCTCAACATACCGATATTATATGACAGCTTGAGCTAACGCATATTTGTTCAAAGTTCTTTGTTGCTTATGACTAACGATACATTGAGGCAATCAGGAATTGTATAAATGACAAGTGCACGTGGTTGGTCAAGAAACGGCTTTCATTTCTGAGGAATTAGAAATGCATCTTTGGTAGCTTAATTTTCTAATATATATGCCATTTCAGTTAATCAACAGATTTCCTTTCTCACTATCCGTAAGTTCGCTTAAGTAATAGGTTGAACTTGTGCATAGGAAGATTTCGTATCACTGTCAACTCTCAGCCACCATATCTCACAACAAAGAAATAATGAAATATTAAACCTTCTAACTGCAAAATAGTGTGGCGTATGCTACCTATGTTGATAGATATAAGTATTACATAACAGCAATAGTCAGTCAGTCAGTCAATAACAACGTAGAACTTCGTACGTACGTACATCAGTTCGAGTTGCCACACCACCTTAACACAGAGATGCAGTTGTCGATTCAAATCCCATTGTGGTAGAGGTAGCAAGAGTGTAAGCAGTGATCGGGAAGATTAGGGTTTGGAGATGTTATTTAAATAGTATAATTCAGTGAAATAAATTTGGAAAGAGGAAAAAAGGGACATGAAGAATTCAGAAGATTAGAATTTGGGAGAACACAAAGAGTGGATGCACCTGTGCCATTGCAAACGATTTTGAGCCATGTCATTCAGGGTCTCTAACCATCGGTTGCTATCATCTCGCGGTCCCCAACCAGGTAGTCTACACCTATCAACATGACTCAGACCACTTGTCAGTGACTTCATGGACTTGTGCCATGTTTTGGTCTGGCCGCCCCTAGCTTTCTTCCAACCTACTCCTATACCACTGAACATCGCACGTCGAGGCAGTCGGTCGTTGGGCATACGTCACACGTGTCCCAGCCATCTCAACTGATGAAGTTTCACTACTTCATCAATTGATTTGCCATCCTTACCTAGTACTCGTTTCCTAACAACTGCATTACTTACTCGATGGTCCCATGATATACGAGCAATGTTTCGAAGACACCTATGATCGAATACTAGTAACCTACGAATATCCTCTACTCTTACCGGCCATGTTTCACTGCCATAAAGTAGGACGGGACGTACTGCTGCGCAGTAAACCCGTCCTTTGGTTGATAGACGGATATCTCGCCTACGCCATAAATGACGCAAGTTGGCAAAAGCTAGTCGAGCCTTCTGTATCCGTGCTGAGATTTCGTCACACACCAGACCACAAGGGCTGATGAGACTTCCAAGATAAGTGAAGCGGTCGACACACTCAACTACTTCACTCCGTATCACTAGTTCGGGTGTCGATGCAATCCAATCCTGAAGCAACATTTTGCATTTCGAGGCGAGAATCGCATCCCGAACATGCTTGCATTGTTGCTTAGAGTGGTCAGAAGACTCTGCATTTTGTCAGCGTCTTCACCAAATAAAACTATGTCATCGGCATATTCTAAGTCAACAAGTGAATTTCTTGGTAGAAGTTCAACCCCTGGAAATTTAGATGAGGAGAGTGTTATCTCTAAAAGTACGTCGACCACAAAGTTGAACAAGAATGGAGAGAGTGGACAGCCCTGACGAACACCACTTGAGGTAATCAATTCTGATGACAGTTCGCCATAATCTCTCACTCTACCAGTTGTGTTCGAGTAGAGAGCCTTTACAAGGTTAATGCACTTCTTTGGTACTCCTTTCAGTGACAAACACTGCCATAGAACCTTACGATCAACAGAGTCGAATGCCGCCTTAAGGTCGAGAAATACTACAATTGTGGGGCGTCTAAACGTGTGTCTGTGTTCTAGAACCTGACGTAGTGTGAATATTTGGTCTATACAACCACGTCCAGGTCGAAAACCGGCCTGATTTTCTCTAGTTTGCTCTTCACGAGCTTTGATTAGGCGTCGAAGTATTATTGAAGCTAGTATTTTAGACACTATATTAGTCAAACTGATTCCTCTGTGATTGTCACAAGAGAACATTTGTCTTTTCTTAAAAACTGGCACAATCAGTGATTGAGACCAGTCAGATGGGATTACGTCCAGTTCCCGAATTCTACCTAAGACCTTAGTTAATCTCACTGAACCACCATCCTTAAAAATCTCAGGAGTAAATCTGTCAGGGCCTGCTGCTCTCCCTCGTTTCAGATTTCCTATGGCTTTTTCAACTTCGTAAAGAGACGGAAGACCTACACTAACTTGCCACTCAGGTTGACTAGAGATCGTGGGAAATCGAAGTGTGGCTGAAGGCCAGTTGAACTGATCCCTAAAGTGTTCTGCCCATCGATCCAATCTCCTGGATTGAGAGCGTATAATATGTCCATCTTTCTCTGAGATTGTTTCGCTAACGGTCGGGTTCCTAATTCCGGTTTCCTTAACGAGTCTGAATAATTTTCTGCTCTTACCTATTGCCGCTGCCTTCTCCATCTCTCTTGCTTTCGCTACCCACCACTGTTCGCGATCGTTGCGTAGACTTCTTGTCAGCTTGCGCTTAAGCTGACTCCGCTCTCCACTATGTTCAGAGCCAAGTGGAATGAGTTTCCGAGCATCTATCAGTGCGATAGATGCTGCTGAGATCCAGTGTTGCTCCCTAACCTTCTGGTTTACCTTACTAGCAGATATCACTGCTGTTTCCACAGCTTTTCGGATATCATTCCATGCTGCCTCGGGGTGGGCATCACATACATAGCTGTCTAACTGTTTTCCTAGTTGTTCCTGAAATATACTCTTAGCTTGACTATCATTAACTAGGCCCTAAGAGGTTTCCTTGCAGCGTCTTTCCTACGTCCAGTAAGACGCAGGCAAATACGCGCTCGCACTAGAGCATGATCTGAATCTAAGCATGTGCTCCAGAATGAGCGACAGTCTTCTATCGAGCCCCTCCATCGGTGGCTGATGGCGATGTGATCTATTTGGGTCCAACGTTGGGACGAATTAGGGGGTCGCCATGTTAAAAGATGTTTTTCCTCATGCTTAAAGTTAGAATTTGCAAGGAACAGGCGATTATCTGAGCATAGCTGCAACAGACGGTCGCCATTATCTGTTCTTTGAGCCACGACACCATAAGATCCACCTAGGTATCTTTCCCTATCACTTAGTTTACCTACTTGAGCATTAAAGTCACCGGCCAATATTACTACATCATAGCGCCTAGCTTTTCTTAGAAGGTCGGAAAGCTTTCTGTAAAACTCATCTTTTACATTATCTGAGCTGCAGTCAGTGGGAGAATAGGCAGAAACGACAAAGAGGCAACGACGGGTGTCCCTATCTTTCCGGATTCTTACTGTTCCGTTCAGTCGGACAGCGCACAAACGGCTGTCTACTGGGATCCACTCTAAGAGAGCTAATTCTTCCCTAGGGCTCAATGCTATACCTACGCCGGCGATGCCACGGAAAGCAGAATCAGGGCTTCCAGATACACGAAGCGTAAATCGAGTCGGTTCTTTATTTCGGCATGGTGAAGTCAAATGAATGACGCTACTCGGATCTTGTATGCGCGTTTCGGAGACGCAGCACACATCGATGGCGCGAGATTCTAAAGTCCTAGCTAAGGAAGCCTGCTGTCCTATTTGACACAGTGTTCGGACGTTAAAAGCTCCTAGTTGTAGTTTAGAGCGTGGTTTCAGGAGACCAGGAATCGAGTTCCACGTACTCGAATCGTTTGCCCTAGCGATGCGAGGTGATAAAGAGACATGAGGAGGGTTAGTCATGGAGATAAGAGAGGTATTAGGAGGTGTAGGAAGGATTTGAATGTGACCAACTTGGTCTCGTGTGCTGTTACGGGTATGAGGGCTGATGTCACTTCCCGGCTGCCCACACCGTGGAAGGGTATTTCTTGAGGAACCTGAAAAGGAAATTGCATTAGTGTTGGTTTTGACGACCTGGGAGCGTGACCGCAGAGCCCAAGGGACAACTGCTTGAGGCCGGTCGCGCACGGCCTTTTTGTGGAAGGATTTTGACGTGTTAACTCCGTTCTTCAAAGGGCCTTACCGCCGGAGACGGAAATCCGTGAGGTAAGGTGAGGTGTGACATTTTTAGGGTCGACCTTTTCTAACCCCACCCCTCCTTGTGGGAAGGCAGCATCGCTGTCATGCTGGTTGTCTGAGGGAAACACCTTACTGCTGTCACACCTCTCTACAGTCAGCAGTACGACTTCGCCCTCAGACCTTGAGTTGCTGCTTTTAGTCTTACCGTTCACCAATCGACCTGCCTGGCATGGTAGAACCTACAGCAGATTAAAATAAAGAAAACAGGAAGTAAATTGGAGAGCAATCGAAATAGCAACAGAACTAAAGGAATAATGGAGTATGTAAAGTACAACGCAAAGATGTGCAAATGATGTATTTAATGTGTGATTTTCATACTTAATCAAGTCATGTGATTGCGTGGTTTTTCTCACCTGAGTTTTTGTCTACTCCAACAGTACCATCTCACTATAAAATGCATTCTTTTTTATTACTTAAGCATTATGCTTTTTGCATGTTTTCTTTTTTTTCAATTAAAATACTAGGTCCATTTTTGTCCATACTCTTAAATCGTTTGGCTAATATGCACAATAATTGTTTTTTCACTAATCTCCTTCTAACTGATATATTTGCTGCATTGGCCTCTTATCCATGTCCATTATTATATGAATACTTATTGAATCCAATGGGTTTAAGTATAAAACCATCTGTTAATACTCTTTATAAAGTATGTAATACCAAATATTTACTGTATTTTTCTACCGGTAGGAATAAATGTAACTTTGTAATTGTGTGTTCTTTTTGCTTACAAAGGTAGTAAGTAATATAGCCTGAACTCGTAACAAACACACCTAAATATCATGATCTTATAACGAACCATCAACATTACTCCCACCTGTCACCATGAATTTGCAGTTTTTCACCATTTTAAATATTCATTTATTATTATTTGGTGATCAATTCATCCAGATAGTTTTTATTTATTCAACATTTTTCAGCGATTTACTAGGAAGGGAAATAGGCCGACTTAATAGTGAAGTATTACTTTGAAGTTGTCATTCATCTCTACTTTCATTTTATGCCATTTACTGAATTAATGATAAGGGGTGAAGTGGTTGAGTGTATTGTCCCCTTTTATCTTGAGGGTTTCATTTTTCCTAGTGGGCTGGTGTCTAACGAAGTTTCAGAAAGATCGACTGGCTTTTGCCTACTTACGTCACTTGTGGCGACGAATTTATTGTGTGGCAGTTGGCTCAGTTTTAATTTATGACCACTAAGAATAGAGGATATTCGTAGGTTATTAGTATTCGATCATTAACGACTTCTTAACATTGCCCGTGTATTTTTGAACCACTGAGTAAGCGATGTCAGGGTTAGGAATAGGGTATTACGTTGAGTTGAACCATCTACCAAGTAATTTATACATCTAATTTCACTACAACTAGTGTTGTCTGAGAAAAGCCTGACACATTAGTTTGTACTTTTACTTGGTAAGTTAGCATTAAGGCATATCGGCTATTTAGTTAGTGTTGTAAGGAAAAAAGAACCTAATTTGATTGATGTTCACTGGGACACTAGATTGCTCGTCATGCTAGATCACTTGGCAAACTCAACTCAATTATCTAACCAATAATCAAGAACCAGATTAGATCAGAATGTAAATCTATTACCACAAAGTAAAAATCAGTAAACGTAGGGTCACTCAATTTTACATAATAAAGTAGTCTCATAACTGGATATATCTACCATTACTTACTAGGCAATCATCCGGTGTTTTACATTTCTAAACTTCAACGAAATGTATGGCGACTTAGTATTCCAAGCATTTAGTTCTTGCTACAAGGCGACTGATGTTTGTTAAAATATTTTTATCAATCCAACTTCCTTAAATCTTTGTAAACTTTGTGCATCACTCTCTCCATTATCCATCGTGTTCAGGTGCTCCGATCTGTGCATAGTCAAATTGTAGTTGCTTCGGAATCTGTTGAACAATGGAAATCACTTGTGTTTCGTGCGCGTGTTTATTTAAATATTGTCTGGCCAGGTCCTTTCAAGATGACAATTGATCCAAATTTTTATACAACAAGAGAGAATTCACAACGTATTAAAACTAAAATGATGGCAACAACGACAGGATATAAATCAAATACTACTTATAATAGTAAAAAAGGTATGTTAGCAGTGTGTGGATTTGTGTGATTCAACAACTTTGATGTTCTTCAGAAATATATCCACCGTCTTGATATCGATAGTGACCTCAACGTCTAAGTAATACTAGTGTGTTCAAAGCGATTTACAAGTGTTCACTTTTTATTGCGAATGTATATTTTCCAATGATCTTTGATTTGTTGGTAAGATCTGATAGAAATATGCATCAACAGCTCGAGACGACAGACGCTTCACATCATACTCTGGTGAACTGTACGCAATTTAGGTTTCGTGCTAGTTTGTGCTCATTAGCAAAGCGTAACTATAATCTTGAGGGGACGGATAACCTCTAGTCAGTTAGAACCCGAGTGACTTAGTTTTGCAGTCCGAGAGATCGTCATTGAGCTATTTGGAGAGGGACTAACGTCTTGTACGACTGAGAAATATACACTGATTAACCAACCTGCATAGACCATTACAGATATATATAGAGAGGGGGAGATCAACCAGACGAAATTGAATGACAGTGGCGAAGCAAATATTTAACGTATACTTCGAAACAGGTTATGGATAATTAAGAAAAAATAATTACAATTAATATTCTCAAAATTTGGAAAAGAATGTACTCGCTCCGATGTGACATTTCAAATCATATCACCTATGGTTTCTAAGCGCAGCTTACAACCCTCATGATTCCCAAATATGTGGTTTGCTTCTTCTGACATGACTCGTTTCACTGTTGAATGAGTTTACGAATTGATGTTCGCGTTTGATCGTTCCCAACTTATTATTATGCTAGCCAGTTCTATATGTTTGTAGATGGTGGCTGAGCCATGTTTAAAAGATATTGAAAATATTCTTTATCGTGAAACATTCACAAGTTTTTAGCAAAGTTGAATTGCTGCAAGAAGTGGAGTCCGCAACGTACATTTCATCCCATTTGAGACTCGTTTGCTGTGTGTACCTGTGCGTTCTGGATATCACTACTTGTCTCATAATAAATATATTAAAACTTATTATTTAACTGTATACACCGCAGTTAGCTCATGATACTGATAGCGACTGATCAATTGCAGTCCTTAATTACCAATAATTAAAAGTTGCAAACCCTTAATACTCAAGAAAATTGGCTTGTTGACAGGCTTTGAGAACAAGACTTTTAGTTTATAATGAACGTTTAAAAAGGTGGGAGAAAAGATTTGTAAGATTAAAAGTAATGACCGTAGTTTAAGAAGAATTGGTTGATGGTTTTTTATACACAGATTTCCTACACTTACGGTATCACTCAATTCCACTTTTATTTAACGTTTCATTTAAATATTTTTCTTTTATTCATTGTATTGGCTAAATACTTTGTACATTATCCCTACTTACATGCGATTTACAATAAATATCAAAGTTGACAAACTAACACTAATTCATTATGTTTTTTACTGTATTTAGGTGTATCTGAGGACAAGAAAAACACTTCTACCTGTTTATCACAAAATTCTCTTCCTACAAATTCAAATCAACATTCACGTTTGAATAATGTAAACAAAGATTCACTTCAACATGTTGTCCCACTGTTGCCTGTTACATATCCGTTACCAGTGAATAACGATAATAAAACTAGTTCAGAACGTTTACATCGTAGTTCTATCAGTGGTGGAAGTAGTAATTTAAATTTACGTCATAGAAGTCGTAGTCGTGTAAATCAATTTTTAAATTTAACAAGTCGTATCGGTTTAAGTCCAGTATTAAAACGTGCATCACTTCATCAAGGTAATCGTACATCTATTCCTTCTTCTTCTTTTAATCAAAATTATACCAATAACAAATTTAAATTAACAAATTCAGGATCTGATGAGGAAGTTGATGTAAATGTGAAACATTCAATGGATAATGAAAACATTATTAATAATAATCCATTTTATTCAGATCCAACAACAGATATTTCAATAAAAACACGAAATTTAGTATTTGCTTCCATTATTTTTGATGAATTCTGTTTTGAACTAGCTGCATTATGTTATGAGCATAGTTTAAATTCTGATATTCATTTAACTAAATAAATCAAACAAAATTATACTACTTATATAATTATCATTGAATAGTAAGTAGTATTATACATCATTATTATTAACTGGTTATTTTAAGTGATTTTATTCATTAAAATTTACATTTACGCATAGAATTCAACTCAGATCTCATTTATCCATCTATTCATTAAAAAACATATTAATTATACCTGTTATTCATCATCGTATTTTCTTTTGTTGTTCATGAGTGTTTGTTTGTTCGTTTTTCCCTTCTCTTTGTTTTTAATTCACAGTATATTTCCTCGTTGCTAAACAAAAACTCTCTACGTATTTAGTTACGTTTTCCTTGTTTTTCTCTTTTTCTTTCCAATTTACCCTTTTTTTGTAAAAATTTCAGAAGTTATTTATCCGATTCGTTTAATTTTCAATTTCTACTTCTTTTTTCTATTACAAAATGATAATGACTTGTTAATTACAAAATAGATTAAGCATGATGTAACATAATAAAGTTCTTAGTTTACATTTTTTCAAGAAATTTTTTTAAATTTTTACTTGTCTCTGTAAATATGTATAATTTCTCGGTCATTTGTTTGTTCTCTTTCTGAACTATATTCTAATGGTTACTGTTTATGGTATTCATTAGTAAGTTGTATTAACTTTGAGACCAGTTTTAAGAAAATAAACAAAATGCGCCATTATATATTTGCTTTTTGTTTTGTTTTGAAAAACAGAAAATCATCTTTTTTTAAGTGATATTTAAATAGGAAACAGCATACTACATAGTTCACTTGGTAGAATCACCAAATAATTGAATTCATGAGTGTTCATTCCGTTTCATGTCAACTATACTAATAATATTTCATTTAACCAATATCAATTAAGGGATGAGAATACTGCGCAGCAGTTTGTTCTGTCCTACTTTACGGCTGCGAGACATGGCCATTAAGAATTTAAGATATTCGTAAACTACTAGTATTCAACCACAGATTCCTTAGAAATATTACACGCATCTGCTGAGAACATCAGGTAAGTAATGGCGAGGTTAGACGCAAGGTATTAGAGAATGATGGTAAATCAGTTGATGAGGTTGTGAATCTTCATCGACTGAGATGTTTGAGCCATGTGTTACGTATGCCTGAACACCGATTACCACGACGTGCAATGCTGACTAGTGTAGGGGATGGTTGGAAGAAAGTTAGGGGCGGCCAAACCAAAACGTGGCATCAGTCATTAAAGTCACTAACTTCTAGTCTTATCCCTGTTGGTAGATGCAGACTAATTGGTTGGGGTCTGCACGACTATCGTAACCAATGGTTGGAGACTGTGGGTGACATGGCTCAGTATCGATCACAATGACGTAGGTGTATGCACTCTCTGTCTTCTTATAAACTATGAGACTGAGATCGCTTCACATCTTTCTACGAACTAGTTCTTACCACCACTGAATTAACTGCTTCTTTGAATCCGGTGTTCGTCTTGCTGTGCTAATGAGGTATGGCAACTTGGACCAATGAATGTATGTGCCTGGTCCTACGCTGTAACTGACTGACTAACCAATATGCTCACTAAGTTCTCTGACGTTCATTGGTTGATTCAAATCTTTGCTATCTCCAACCTACCCAATCAGAACATAGAAAAGATAGTCGACCTTTGCATTACTATGAATCATATGACACTATGCATCAATAACGGCACTATAATGTACTGTAAATAAGCGATCACAATCTGTACATAACCAAGTCTTCTGTGTTACAAACTGAGTAACAGATATATAATTGACTAACTAGTTTTTAAGCACTAAAAGATATCTTAACAATTGATGAGCTGAATAAAAGCTTATAATGAAGACAATACCAAAAAATACCACGATCCAAATATCTATTTAATATACAATAAACACACATACATAATAATAATTCCTAGCATATTGATTGAAATTCCACCTTTTCCATTTATTCGTCTATATCTAACAGTTACTATGGGATTTCACTATGAATTTTCTCCAAATGTGAATGTTTAGATTGATCAGAACTAAGTGAACCTTAGGTTTAAATGCCTTTTTTCGAACCATGGGGCAAATATTTCTGATGACCAATCGTTTTACCATCAATGAATTTTTGTTATGTATGTATAGTAATTCTATTGACTAATTAATCCAAAAGTTGCTACATGTGATTCCCGGAATAACCAACAAAAATGGTTAGTTTGTAGTGACTCACATTTATCACGAGAACACGACTGGTTTATTAAAAACAATTATTATTATAACCAATTGTACCAGTGTTTGTTTTAATGTGCTTTTGTTTGACTGTGCTAACGACAGCTATATTGTGCTTCCATTCTTATACTTACACTTCGATTGTAACTTCGCGCGAATTCGGTTACGTTCTGTAACCAAGCACGATCTCGGTATCCTTTCGATGCCACGAGATCGCCAGCAAATAAACCTCGACTTGGTCCATTAATTGCCTTCTGATATTTGGCTTCTCGGGGGATTTTATGGAGTCATTTGGCACGTGCTTCTTGGTAGCGGTGTTAATAGTTCAACTCGACTCGACGCCACGCTACAAATGGTGATCCCAAAGTTTGGAACACGCGACAAGTTCTTGGTTGCTAGTTGGATAGTATGATGTAGTTCGGTTATCAAGGAAATTCTTGTCTAATAAGATTCGTGCCGCGCGCTTTTTGTATCAAAGCTAGTAAATCGTGTCAGAACGGATTCTGACCTTAATTTATCCTTTATGCGAGCATTACTATGATTAAACATGCAATATTCTAGGAGTTTATACATCAGAATACTCGGCTCATTATTATAAAATCAATGAGTGTACAAAATATAAGTATCCAAAGATCCATTCTCGTATTTGACTTATTTAATTCCGTCATTCACCAACGTGATTTAAGACAATAAATATACTAGGCTATCCTATGTGTGTATTTCGATAACAGTCGTTCATACGATGTGTTTTATGCTTCAATTGGGTAAAGTATATTACTTTGATTTAGAAAGTTGGGTTTCGACAAGTCATCTATAGTTAGATAGTGCGAGGAACCACCTTAATTAGGAGAGTGATGGGAAAGTGTGACTTGTTGGGGTTTTATGATTAGTCTAGGACAACACTTGATGGCGTCACTTTCCCGCGTATAGTGTATCAAGGCTGGTATGGTTCTTCATCCGTGGGAGTAGAGCACTTTGGACCTTTCGTGGTTAAGAGATTAAAATAATTAGAAAAATACATGGATGTGAGTTTACTTGTTTGCAAACAAAAGTAGTGGATACTGAAATGAAGTACGGCCTAAATACTGACTCATCTATGATTTCATTTTCACGTTTCATGGAAAGAAGATTCAATAAATTTGACGTATTGTAATTTTTGTCAAAGAATTATACTAATCTGTGACCTATGTAGGATCTAATTTGTCCTACAGGTATACTATTAGACTGTTAAAGCTATACTGGCTACCGCAGAGTTTATATGAATGCTATACATACGCATATACATACCGACCAGCATTGCGTGTCTTATCGAAATGAATAAAAATTATGAGTTACACTAATATAATAAGATAATAATGTCCTTTAATTGGCAGGACGTATGCAACAAGCATAGTCTAGACACATCAGACCAGATTGACGTGGTGAGCGCTTAAACAACGATTTGATTGGTTAGTTAGTTGTCATCTGAATCGCGTATTTGAACCTCAATGGCTCTGTCCTTTCGTCATAAAATAATTTATTTGGTCTTTTTGAGATAAGCCTTAGCACAATTTAGTTTATTTATTGATGTCACTAATGATAGTTAGCTATAGTAGTTAAAATGTCTGTTAGTGTGAAGCATTAATTACAACAACTCTTTGGTTGAGTGTCAATGGGAAATGATAACGACGTAATAACAATTAAAACAACAGTGATGTAGAACCATAGCAATAATTTTACCTTTACTGAAAACGATGGAAAAACTGTCACCCCTTACACTTTAGGTTGCATTAAAGGAGCATAATGATCCATTTCAGTTCAGTTACAAATGCAAAACAATCGATAACGACGCTGCAGTTGTCCTTGTTTGAAAGTTAGTGTTTAAAGCAGGAGAAAGTGATAATTATTCTAAACGTGCGTTTTTGGAGCATCAGTCTTATTCATACGACTGAATGGATGGGCAAAATTATATTCTTTAACTCATTGTGAACTTTGTCCAGAATTAATTACGTTTTTATTCCGATTTAATGAATATTCAGAGTAATATTTTTTGCGTTCCAGTGAATTTTATTCAATATAACATTATTTTGTTGAAATGTAGTTTTATTTCAAGATACGATGTTCTTGTATAAAATTGACGTAAACTATGATGAGCACAACAGATAACATGTAATTTTGCTCTTACTCTGAATATTCTTTACGTATGTGATTTTATTCAGATTACTAATCACAATGGGTGTACACTCAGTATGTGTTGAGTATATTTTCGACCAGAGTCCTTATCATGTTTTGGGTTCAATAAATTTTCGGTTGTACCAGCCTTAATGTTCTTACTTCGCGTTGTGTAAATTGCAGTGATTTCTTGTACTTTCAAGTATAAGAATAAGCGACGTGGGTACAACATGTCACTTCAGCTAATCTGGGTCATCTGTTTGAAGATAAAAATGTATTAAAAGATAAACATCTGTACTTGGAGGAACTTTTGATTCAGCACATGTTACTGAAAATAATTTGCTGGCATCCCAAAAACAATCGGATGAGCATTCTCCCAAATCCGACTTCAATAAGACAAACCGTTGGCCGTAAGAGATGCCACCTGAAGATAAACAAACCTTGGGGACCAGCCAGAGTGTGGTGTTTGAACGAACTAATGATACTTTTGTACTTGTTGATTGCACGATTTCGAATTTCAAATACAGTGTGCTTGTGTCTTACTTCTTAATTCAATTGCGTTACCTCTGGGACTCTTATTTCGTACTATAATTCAAATAATTCGAGACATTATACTGGCGTCGCGATGGAGCCTGAAATGGAAAAGTTGGATATTCATTCAACTTCGGAAGCTTTTGGGGATTATTTGAAAACGTTTGAAATCTGGAGCATGACTAAGAAAGATGTTAAAGGTGATAAAATTGCGGCACATTTCCTGACATTCATTGGGAAAGAAACGTACAGCTTATTAAAAACTTTGGCATATCCAGAAAAACTTATCTCACTTCCTTATGCAACTCTTAAGGAGCTATTATTAAATCATGTAAAGTGCACCAGTTTTGAATGCCTTGAAAGGGCGAAATTTCATAAGATGGTTCGTCAAAAATGACCAAAAAGTTCGGGAATTCATCCTTTAATTGCAGAAACAAGCTGCCAAGTGTAATTTCGATGATCAACTTCATGTGCAACTGAGAGATCGATTAATTATAGGAATTAACATACCGAGTTTGGAAACAGATCTGTTAAGAATGCCAAACTGTTCCTTTCAAGATGCTAGAACTGTGTGTATTAACTACGAAGTAGTAAATGAACTTGATATCCAGTCGACGAAGATTTCTAATACTTTGCTTAGTCGTCATGATGAACTACAATCTCAGGGTCAATCAAACTTGCGTTCATTTAACAGTGATTCCTATTCTCGTGTAAATATGAAAAGTTTTTCAACAAGGGATTACAGAGCAAATCACAAACGTGAGATGAAGTTTGGTAAATCTTTATCATGTGGAAAGT